CAAGCGGCTACGAACGACTCTGTTCTACGCGCCGAAGCGCCATTATACACACTTGTCGGAGAGCCTTTGCAGATGGTTTGGCCTACAGCTTGTGATCCGACGCAGCCGTTTCAGGATTTGTCGGTCATCGATAAGCTGGGCAGGGGAGATTGTGGGCATCAAGAATTCTGGATTCAAGAATCTGGGTTCGTTGCGGGAGAGAGCCACGGGGCTGAAGCAGACGACGCCCAGACACAGTGCAGCGGTCTTTGCGGTGTTTTCGGCGATACGGACCGCAATCTAGGAACATGCGTGGCTCAAGCCCCCTCTTGGTCTCAGGCGTGGCTCAAGCTACTCGGGTTTCAGTGGCTTCTTCAAGAACCGCGGCAGTGGCAGCGGATTGTGGACAGCGAGAAGAGACGGCAGCGACAGCGGACACAGGCGAAACTCTGGCAGTCCATACGTCATCAGCTACAAGCAGGGACACTCGCGTGCGAGAAGAAACAGCAGTGGAGGCGGGCGCCAGGCAAGGTACCCAGGCGGTACCAACTGCAAGCATTGCTGCTGCAGTTGTCCGGGGGGAGGTCACCCCCAAGCTGAAGGCCGCCATGAACTGGTCGAACCACATGCGGGCGCGTGAACGCCACATCCCTATTACTTTTGAGCGTGCTGACGAGGACCGTTTCCTCAGAGACGCGCGTGAGCACACAGCTTTTGCGGAGCGGACAACGGGAGTGAGGGTCTTCCTCAATGCGTTTGCTAATTCCACACAGATTTCCATCTACGCGTCAGACTCGGTCGAGGAGGACCTATTCGATTAAGCTGTGATCATGATACAAGACCTCCTCCATCACGTCGGCGGCGGCGGCGACAATTACGAGGATGAGTACCCCGAGTCAGACGACGACGGACACGACCGAGGACGACGAGGCACCAGGCAGCGACGCTAAGTTGGGACACCGTACGCCATCAGCTACAAGCTGGGACATGCGCTTGCGAGAAAGGGCCGTGGCAACGGGCAGCCGCGAGCATCCAGCACGGCAGACACCGTCAACTGAAGTTTGGCGGCCCAGCTTGCGAGAACCGGCGGCTGCTTCAGCGGGTGGTGGCGCGAAGCACCCGGTGGGACGCAGAGTCCACTTCGACCTGCGCGAGGATACCGCACCCGATCCAGAGCTCCAATGCAATGACCTCCTCGAACAGCGGCTTCCTTATCGCCATCGCCCCCCTCAGGGGTGAGCGTGCCGCCCTCCCACAGGGGGAGGGGCCTGGCGGCCCCCGAGGGGGGCCAAGTTCGGGAATGACGAGTTCGGCGATCACCTGGACTAGGTCATCTGAGCGGAGGGGGAGGTGGAACCCCTCCGCGTCGAGCGGCTACGTCCTCTGACGGACACAGAGCCGATAAGGTCGAGGAGGAGGAGAAGCAGGAGCAGGAGCAGGAGCAGGAGGCAGAGGAGGAGGAGGAGGCTGAGGAGGAGATCCAAAGCGGCGGGACGCGCCGGAGCACAGCGAGGCGCGGGAGGGAGGCACACTCAGACCGCGAAGGCCGTCGCGCGCGCGCCGAGGAGCGAGGCCGCTCACGAGCAACACGCGCACACACACGCGCACACACACACACACGCACACACACAAGCACACACACACACACACCGTGAGAGGGGGGGGGACTCATCGGCGGGACCGCCCTCGCTTCACCCGATGTGCGACCCGATGGGATCGGGGGGTGGAGGGGCTGATCTACGGGAGGCTGCCATCGGGGGATCTACGGGCTGGTGCGATTACGGGGCCAAGCCTCACACCCCCCTCGCCCTTCGCTGGGGGTGTGACCCGCCGAGCGCGCGAAGCAAAGTGAAGGTTGTCGCCGACCGTATCCCTGAGGCTGTGGGCTCGCGGGGCGCGCGCAGGCCCTCATCTGGAGGTCCTGCAGGACCGCCGGCAGGAGCCGCAGGGCGTGGCGGGGGGCTCCGCTGCACCCGCCGCCGCCCGTCGCCGTCGCCGTCGCCGTCGCCGCCGCCATCGCCGTCGCCGTCGCCGTCGCCGTCGCCGTCGCCGTCGCCGTCGTCGTCGTCGTCGTCGTCCGTCGCCGACATTCATCATATCTCAGTCGGTCGGTCATGTGTTCCAGGTCAGTCGGTTGTCGTCGTCCGTCGTCGTCGTTGTCGCCGTCGTCGTAATCGTCGTCGTCGGTCGGTTGTCGTCTGGTCCTCCGTCATCCTTCCCCTCTCTTCGTTTTGCCTCCTAATGGTCCTCCTCCCTCCCTCCAGAGGCGCGCGCTACCGAGCGGATCCCCCATAGCTGCGACCAGTGCGTTTCATTATCCGAACCGCTCGCCCGTCCGCACGCTCAGCTCTCCTCCTCTTTCCTCCCTCCTCATCCTTATCCTCCTCCTCCTCCGCCTCCTCTTGCCTTCTTAGCCCCCTGCTGCTGCAGGCTTCGGAGTCCACAGTTTGACGCAGCCCTCCTCCACCCGCGGTCCTGGGGGAGGCGTTCCTGGAAATGGCGCGCTCGCCGCCGGTCTATTATGGGCGGGGGCGGGGGCTATCCCTGTGGTATTCGCCTCCTCCTCCTCCTCCTCCTCCTCCCTCCCTCCATGCCTTTTCCTTATGAATATCTCCTCCCTGTCGTACACCGAGGCCACTCGGAAGGGCGGGCTGGGCGTTTCGCCTTAGACTTCCTCACCATTGATGATCCTGGAGCTCAAAAAAGTGGCAACAGTTTTTACAGATGGACGGCGGGCCGCTTCCAAAATGTGGCTATCGCTTTGGCGCCGCGCACATTCGTCTTACAGAATTGCAGGAGCTTCGCGGATTCAGGGCGGGCGGTTTTCAAAATGTAGTTCTTGTTTTAGTGCCGCGCACACTCGTCATACTTTTTTGCATGAGTTATACGGATTGTGGGCAGGCGGCTTTCAAAATGATTCTCGCTGTAGCGCCGCGTACACTCGCAAAACAAATGCAACAGTTTCACGGATTGAGGGCGGCTTCCTGTGATTCTCGCCTTAGCGCCGCGACCGTTCGATTCAAACATGTGCAAGGGTTTCACGGATTCCCATGGTTAAGTTACCAGAAATTTTGTTTTGGATTTGTCAGGATTGTCAGGGTACAACATTTACGGTGATCCGCGGTGTTGAAGTCACAGGAAAAGCGTTTTGGCACGATTCAGGATCGTCAACACGCAACAGTCAGGTTGATCCGTGCCTTTGGAGTTCCCAGAATGGCGTTTTGCCCCGCTTCAGGATCTTAAATTGGTTGTCTCCCAACGGGTCATTACCCTCAGTGGAATTGAGTCCTTGCAGGGGCCTGTGAAGAGGGAGCTCGGAGGGAGAGTTCATTCTAACATCGCTGATGAGTCTTAGGTTTACACTGGTCCTCCTCCTCCTCCTCCGCCTCCGCCTCCTCCTCCTCCTCCTCCTTCTCCTCCTCCCTCCCCCCCCCAACGCTCTTCCCCTCTTCCTGCCCCGCTCACAGTCCCCCCTCTCTCCCTCTCCCTCCCCCCTCCCCCCGACCTTCCCCTCGGCCCCGCGCCCCGCGGAGCTGGCGCAGGAACGCCTGGGCCAGCTGCCGCAACATGCCCGAGGACGAGGAGAAGCCAGAGGACTTCGTCGGCCTCGAGATCCCCGACCGGCGGATCGTTCAGGAGGGAGCGCTGGGCTCAGCGTGCGCGGAGGGGGGGGGCAGGGCTCGTTTCGGCTCCTCCGATGCTTGATTCGATTCGACTTCCATTGCTTCCGATTCCGACTCGATTCGACTTGGGATTCTGATCTGGGTGCCGGGTTCTTATGGGAGGCGCGCCAGCTTGCGGATCTCGGCCGATCCGACGTTTCCCGACTCGGCTGCCGATTTTCGCCGATCCGACCCATTTCGATCGCCGATCCGGCTCATCGATTCAATTCTGGGCTTACCTGGGGGTGGCAGCAGAGGGAAAACGGTGTCCCCGAGGGGTTGCCACCAGGGGCAGCGGGGTCCCAGAGGGTCCCGGCGGGCTTCCGTGGACCTACCAGTGGCTCCTGGAGGCCCCAGGAGGAACCAGGCAGAAGAGAAGATTGCCGTGGAGGGGGGGCCCAGGACAAGGCACCCTCCCTAGGCCTCTTCTGGCAGCCAGGAGCCACCAGGCAGAAGAGAAGGTTGCAGTGGAATGGAAGGGCTGAGGGGAGGCCTTCCCGTGGCCTCGGATGGGCTCAGAGGAGGGAAAGGTACCAGTGGCGCTGCCCCACCCTCGTCGCCACGGCTGGACTCGCACCGAGGTGCTGGCCAGAGCGCACCCCGGGAGAGTTCTTGGGAGGTACTTCTGGATTCCCAGATCCCAATCTACCTCAAGCGCCTTCCTACTTCAAGAACCGATACGCTGTTTCTGTGGCTTGTTATTCTCTGGGAGGTTCTGAACCCAATATACTTGATCCGCCTTCCTACTTCATGTTTTTACCTACGGTAGGTTCGTGTCGTGTCGACCGGCGGCGACCCCGCCAGCGGTGTTCAAAGTTGAACGCCGCGAGCGACCCAGAATCGATCTATGTTGAACGATTTGGACGTTTCGGAAACGGCCGATCGTTCAAGGTTGAACGATCCCCGCGGTGTCAGAAACCAACGCTAGGGTCGGCACGACACGAACCTGCCGTACTTGATCCGCCTTCCTACTTCATGTTTTTGCCTACTTCTTCCAACCGGCGTGTTGCCCACCACGCCTCGGAACGGCACGCTGTACACTTCCCAGTTCCCACCCGAGCGTCCACGTCCCGAGCTTTTCTCAGCCTCCCGCCCCGCGGAGCGGAGTGACACGCCATCCGCTCTCAGGGTACGGCGTGTCGCCCGTGCCGCGGCCGCGACACGCTGAGCAAAAGTTCCCGGCCGCGGGCCCTTCCCATCGGCCCTGCTCCCCAGAGATCCGATGTCGTGCTGTTTTTTGTGTTTCATCCTGAGTCGTTTTTGACGGTCCCAGGGCCCGGCGAGGGCCCCTAGAGGCCGAAAAGTGTGAAACATGTCCGTCTTGATTTGTTCAATACGTCAGATCTCTGGGCCCCAGCGCCGAGGGCAGGCCTTGCCCCAGGGCCCGCGCGCGATCGAGGCGGGCCCCGCGCAGCGGGGGCGCCTGGCCCGGTGCCGTTCGCGAGCGTCGGTCGCCTGCCGGTGGCCCTCCTGGCCGCCGTGCAGTGCAGGGCCTCGCGGTGCCTCCGGCAGTGGCGAGGCGTCTCGGCTAGTCAGAGCCCCGAATCATCAAGGATAACTCGGGTCAGGGATAACTCGGGTTCGTTTTTCGGGAATCCAAACCCGAGTTACCCCGGACCCGAGTTACCCCGGATAATTCGGGCGTTCAGAGCCCCGAATCATCAGGGGTAATTCGGGTCAGGGCTAACTCGGGTTCCTTCTTCGGGAATCTAAACCCGAGTTACCCCGGACCCGAGTTACCCCGGATAATTCGGGCGCCCAAGCTAGGCCCATAGGCCCAGCAAAGTTTCTTCTGATAAGCTTGTGTGGCTTACACGAGACGCCGTTACCTGAAGAGGGTAAGTGTCATAAGCATAAACTTCTGGCGCTCCGCACGGGTTTCTTGGACCCGCGCTCTCCCCCCTGGCGGCGCCTCCCGCGCCGCCCCTGGCGCGCTCCGCGCGCCAGGGAGGGGGGTCTAGCGCGGATCCCAGAAATCCGCGCGGAGCACCACAAGTTTGTGTTTATGACGTTTTTCTTCCTATACTTATCGATGATCCTCAGGACGTGTGTTAGCCCCATGTGAGTTTGCCCCCATTCAGCCCAAACAGTAGATCATCACATCGCCTGCGTCGTATCGAGGGGCCTCGATAGACAACCACACCTTGGGGCTAACACACGTTCTGAGGATCATCGATCTTAGAAGATGCCTGGCTGAGATTGCCCTGTTTTTGGCACATCGGCTCTATCGGATAGTAGCTTTGCTGTTGCTGTTCGAGCTTTCTCTGGTTCTGTGAACATGTCGCAGTAGGCCTGCAGGCATGGTCCAAGGGACTGTGAGTCCCTGCTCAAATGCCGCGCGCGCGGCGGGCTTCCGCTCCCACGCCCCTGGTGGTCCTGAGGATCGCTGGCCATGCTCCCGGCGGTCCGAGGGCCGATGGCCAAGTATGTTCGGCGGGCCTCAGCGCGATGTCCTGAGCCAGAGCCCCTGGAAGTAGGCACGCGCGGAGGGAGGAGTGCCCGCACAGTCAAGCTCATCCGGGGTCCCCCAACGGCGGCACGCAGCGGCGACGGGCTGCTCGAGAAGCCCTCCTGCGAGCGTCGCGCAGATCTCGGCGGAGGAGAAGGAGGTGGACGAGAACGAGGAGCAGAGGGAGGAGAAGCAGGAGAAGGTGGGAGGAGGAAGGAGGAGGGAGGAGGCGGAGGAGGAGGACTACGCACTGAGCGCGAGGAGGAGAAGGAGGAGGAGGGAAGACGAGGGAAGACGAGGGGGGAGGGCGGATGGAGGAGGAGGGAGGAGGTTAAGGACAAGCACGTTGGAGCCGAGTCCGCCCCTCCCTCAGCGAAGGCCGCCAGAACACGTTGAAAGAGGAAAGGAAGAGGACATGGAGGAGGCGGTGAAGGATGAGGAAGAGGAGGAGGTGGATGAGGAGGAGATGAATGACGAGTCCTGAAGGCCTCCGTGGTCTGGTGAGCCCCGCAAGGAAGCCTTGCAAGCTACTAAAGTGCTCGTTGGCACGTGTGGCGTTCTGGTGTACACAGGCGTTGTGGTGCACGGAGGCATTGTGGCGTGCGTAGGCGCTGCGGTACACATGGTTGCTTTGGTGTACACCGGCGCTGTGGTGTACACAAGCGCTCTGGTGCACGCATGCAACGAGGTGTACGCAGGCGCTGTTGCGCACACGGCCGCTGCAGTTTACACAGGCACTGCGGTGTACATCGGCGACGTGGTGCTGCGGTGCACGCGGCTGTTGTGGTGTACGGAGGCACTGCGATGTACACATGCGGCTATGTGTTGCACGCAGGCATTGGCCGGGACTGTGGTGCACACGGGCGATTGATGCGCCAGTGGCGCGGACGCCTCAGCGGGTGCACGCCGCGGCCGCCGTTACCATTACCCTCCCGCCTGAGCCCCCCCCCCGTTACCCCGGAGGGAGCAACAGGAACGCGCACCCGACCCTTTTCTGCGACGTCCAGGGGCCTCGCCCTTCTTCTGCTGTGCTGTCGGAGCCTCTGGAGCCTCTCGGGGCCCCTGCCGACCTCGCACTGCAACCTCTCCGAGGAGGAGGAGGAGGAGGAGGAGGAGGAGGAGAGTGAGGAGGAGGAGGAGGAGGGAGGAGGAGGAGGAGGAGGAGGAGGAGGAGGAGGGGGAGGGGGGAGGGGGAGGAGGATAAATAGGAGGAGGAGGAGGAGGAGGAGGAGGAGAGGAGGAGGAGGGGAGGAGGAGGAGGAGGGGAGGAGGAGGGGAGGAGGAGGAGGAGGAGGAGGAGGGTGGATGCGGTTCGTCGAGGCGGTGCCCTGGCGTGATGTTGGCGCCCCGCCCCGCGGGGAGCCTCCTGTGCCGAGGCCTTCAGCTGGGAGAGACATCCGACGTACCTCGGACGGGATGGGCCTGCCATACCGCATGCTGTCTCGTTGCCGAGCCTCCTGTGTCCCCATCCTTCCTCTGCCTCGTCCTCCTCTTCCTCTTCCTCTGCCCCGTTACTTCAGCTCTTCCTCAGCCTCGTCCTCATCTTCCTCCTTCATATCTCCCTCCCCATCACCATCATCATCATCAGCAGCATCAGCATCAGCAGCATCATCATCAACATCGTCACATCGTCATCCTCGTCATCGTCATCGTCACACTCATCAGCACCACCATCATCATCATCATCATCATCATCATCATCATCATCATCATCATCATCATCATCATCATCATCATCAACATCAGCATCAGCATCAGCATCAGCATCAGCATCATCATCATCATCATCCTCATCATCAGCATTTCTTCATCATCAGTAGCAGCATCATCAGCAGCAGCATCAGCATCAGCATCAACACCATTGTCATCCGCAGCAGCAGCACCACCATCACAATCACCACCATCATCATACTACGCTGTGTATCTCCAAATCCCTTGGCTTGGGCGAAGCAGAATGATAGGAGGCGACCTGTTCCAGCTTCTCAGATCATTCGCTTCCTTCAAGCGAACGCTTAAGGTTTCTTATGTTTCTTCAAGCGAGCGCTTTGAATTCGAGCCAGCGTTTCTTTATTTTCTTGAAGCGAGCGCCTAAAATCCAGACGGTCGAAATTCAGACAGTAGTTGTTTGAACATCTAGGACGTTTGTTTTCTAGCGAACGGTTTGTTGGTTTCTTGAAGCGAGCGCTCAAAGTTCAGAAGCGGGGGAGTTCAGAAATGTTGTTTTTTATTTTCCGGAAGTTGATTATATAAGACAAGGCGCGATGATTTTACATGGCGGTGAGATGAACATATCGCGCGCCAGCTTCGATATCATCAAGTTCGAACGTAACGCACTTGCTTTTTTTGCCTCAAGCAAGCCATTCATATACGAGGGCCATATGTAAACACAACGAAACAATGGTTTCAAACACGCGCGTCCAGGACATCCGCGCGTCTCCTTTTAGTGAGCTGACGAGAACATTTGCTTGGGAATGTCATAGCATGAACACTCGCGGTTTGCATTTTGTGCGTCGCGTGCCATCATTCGGGCAATGGGGACCTGATTACTTGTATATCTCCCTATCTCCCCACATCCTAAGTGGGGTTCTTGTTCTCTCTGGACGGCCCCCGGCCACGCACGCCCGCACGCCCACGCACGCCCAGTCACACACACACACACACGCACACACACACACACACACACGCACGCGCACACACACATACACACACATACACGCACACACACACACACACACACACCATGCGAGCCCGCTCGCGCGGAAGGGACCTCCTCCCCTGTGGCCCACAGGGGGTCACACCTAAAAATTGGAATTCCAACGGCTACCGGCAGCAGCGAGCCCACTCGCACGGAATGACCCTCAGGGGCATTCCATGCGAGCCCGCTCGCGCGGAAGGGACCTCACTTGTGGCCCCTAGGGGGTCCCACCTAAAAGTTGGAATTCCAACGGCTATCGGCAGCAGCGAGCCCGCTCGAACGGAATGACCCTCATGGGCATTCCATGCGAGCCCGCTCGCGCGGAAGGGACTTCCCCTGTGGCCCCTAGGGGCTTCCACCCAAAATTTGGAATTCCAACGGCTATCGGCAGCAGCCAGCCCGCTCGCACGGAATGACCTTCAGGGGCATTCCATGCGAGCCCGCTCGCGCGGAAGGGACCTCCCCTGTGGCCCCTAGGGCCCCTAGGGGGTCCCACTTAAACTTTGGAATTCCAACGGCTATCGGCATCAACGAACCCCCTCGCACGGAATGACCCTCAGGGGCATTCCATGCAAACCCGCTCGTGCGGAAGGGACCTCCCCTGTGGCCCCTAAGGGGTCCGACCTAAAAGTTGGAATTCCAGCGGATATCGACATCAGCGAGCCCGCTCGCACGGAATGACCCTCAATGACATTCCATGCGAGCCCGCTCGCGCGGAAGGGACTTCCCCTGTGGCCCCTAGGGGGTCCCACTTAAAATTTTGAATTCCAACGGCTATCGGCATCAGCGAGCCCGCTTGCACGGAATGACCCTCAGGGGCATTCCATGCGAGCCCGCTCGCGCGGAAGCCTAGGGGGTCCCACCTGGTAAGTTGGAATTCCAACGGCTATCGGCATCAACGGGCCCGCTCGCACGGAATGACCCTCAGGGGCATTCCATGCGAGCCCGCTCGCGCGGAAGGGACCTCCCCTGTGGCCCCGGGGGTCCCACCTAAGAGTTGGAATTCCAACGGCTATCGGCATCAGCGAGCCCGCTCGCGCGGAATGACCCTCAGGCTGGACCCTCAGGGGCATTCCATGCGAGCCCGTTCGCGCGGAGGAGGAGGATGAGGAGGTTTAGGAGAAGGCGGAGGAGGAGGGGGAGGAGGAGGAGGAGGAGGGAGGAGGAGGGGAGGAGGAGGAGGAGAAAGAGAAAGAGGAGGAGGAGGCGGGGATTTCAACCACGATGCCGTCAGGAGGACGCGGTTTGAAATGGACGCTGCTCAAGGCGGCGGAAGAGGAGGAGGAGGAGGAGGAGGAGGAGGAGGAGAGAGGAGAGGAGGAGGAGGAGGTGAGAATGAGGAGGAGGAGGAGGAGGAGGAGGAGGAGGAGGAGGAGGAGGAGGACGAGGAGGACGAAGAGGAGGAGGAGAGGAGGAGGGGAGGAGGAGGAGGAGGAGGAGAGGAGGAGGAGGAGAGGAGGAGGAGGAGGAGGGAGGAGGAGGAGGAGGAGGAGGAGGAGGAGGAGGAGGAGGAGGAGAGGAGGAGGAGGAGGTGGAGGAGGAGGAGGAGGAGGAGGAGGAGGAGGAAGAGGAGGAGGAGTAGGAGTAGGAGGGGGGGGGGACCAGGAGGAGGTGGATGACGAGGAGGAGGAGGAGGAGGGGGAGGAGGAGGAGGAGGAGGAGGAGGAGGAGGAGGAGGAAGAGGACGACGGGGAGGAAGGTTTCAACCACTGCGGCGTCGGGAGGAGGTGGTTGAAATGAAAGCCAGTCGAGGAGGCGGAGGAGGAGGAGGATGAGGGGAAGGAGGAGGAGGAGGAGAACGAGGGGGAGGAAGCGGGGATTTCAACCACGGTGCCGTCAGGAGGACGCGGTTGCTCAATGCGGAGGAGGAGGACGACGAGGAGGAGGAGAAGGAGGAGGTGGAGGAGGAGCAGCAGCAGCGTCAGCAGGAGCAGCATCATTCTGATATTGTACATACTCCATACAAAATTAGGTTTTCATGCGGGGTCCATCAGTTGGAGTAATTCTCTCTCTTTCCCCCTCTCTCTCTCTGGCTGCGCGGGCGGTTGGACGTCGCTGATTATGTGGTTCACTTGCCAACGCAAGGCGGCCATCAAAACTGGAGCGCCTTCACACCCCGTCCGCGCGCCCGCGGGCGCTGGGTCTCGGGGTAGTGTAGCAGCAGCAGCATCAGCAGCAGTAGCAGTAGTAGTAGTAGTAGCAGCAGTAGTAGTAGTAGTAGTAGTAGTAGTAGTAGTAGTAGTAGTAGTAGTAGTAGTAGTAGTAGTAGTAGTAGTAGTAGTAGTAGTAGTAGTAGTAGTAGTAGTAGTAGTAGTAGTAGTAGAGTAGAGGAGGAGGAGGAGGAGGAGGAGGAGGAGGAGGAGGAGGAGGAGGAGGAGGAAGAGAGGAGGAGGTGGGGAGGAGGAGGATGAAGAGGAGAGGTCAGGCTGGGTCAGGATGTCCGGGGGCAAGAAAATGAGCAGGAGTATCGAAGGCAAGTGACAGTGCGGTCCTAGGTCCTATGAGAATCTTCGTTTTGGTGGCCGCCATAGCACGCTGCCCCCTGCCTCTGCCAGAGGCAGGGGGCAACGTGCTATGCGCGCCGTGCGTGGCGCTGTGGGGTCGCGTCGTGTCCACCGAGGAGACCGAGGGGGATTCAGTCCATGGGTCGCCCCGCCGCCTCCACTCGGCATTTCGCTTGTCGGAGGGCGTTGCCGCGTTGCTTCGCCAACCGCCCGACAGGCGGGGTGTCGAGCCATGGAGTGGGCGGCTCTGGGACTGCAGTCCCCCTCGCTCCTCCCACCGCCCCGCGCGGCCGTGTTAAGTAAAGGGGGTTCAGCGCGTGTACCGCTTCCAGGCCCTGACCCTGATCGGCCTGACCCAGGGTCAGGCCGATCAGGGTCAGGGCCTGACCCAGGCCACGCCGATACGATAAGGGTCAGGCTGACCCTTATCGTATCGGCGTGGCCCTTTGAGCACTACTGGCCCGTAACCTGTCGGCCCACTCTTCACTGCTTTGGGCTTGTGACGCTCTCCCCCAGCCCTTGCCCGTCATAGCGGCGCTGGCCCACCGTTCGTTCTCGGTTTCGCAGTGCCTCTCGGCTCAGAGGCTCGCAGCAGCGAGTCATGTTCGCTGCCCGGATTCTAGAATCCGCCCTGCGGCAGCATGCGTCGTGGTCCGCCAGCGGGGAGCTCACTGTGCATCGCAGCGTGCCCGCTGGGACGGTGTCAGCGGCATGCGGGTGTTCGGCCCGCGCAGCGGGAACAGCTGTCCGTCAGGCTCAGACTCTGATGGGCTTGGCAGGGCCTCTTCCTGAAAGAGTTCCTGCGCTCCTGATGGCCTTTGGCATGCATGCTGCAGGCTTCACCGTGAACGCGGCGACGTGGCAGGAGCTGGTCCAGCGCGCATGCGGATCGCCCGGCGGATCGCCACCGCAGGTGCCCGTTCCAGCGGCCGTTGCGGAGTTGGCGATCGTTCCTGGCGGCGGTCCCGACGCCGACACTGCGCCGTCGACGCCGTGCTCGGGCTCTGGCTCTGGAGGCTCTGGACGGTCAAGACGGTCAGGAGGGTCATTCGAGCTGGTCTCGGTCTCCTCGGCGTCGAGTGCCAGTGGCAGCAGCGGTGGCAGTTGCAGCTCCAGGCGCGCCGCCGCCCCTCCGCCTGTTTTGCTTTGTCGGGTGCCACTGCTGGAGGGGGGGGGGGGAGGGAGGAGGAGGAGGCGGAGGAGGAAGAGGA